GCTCTGCAAGAAAGCCTTGATATCAATGACTGAACGGAGAGTGACAATACCACAATCATTAATCTTAAATCACAATATCATCAAAAGTATGTTCATTAATACAAATTAAAGCAATATTCATATACTGTCTGTAAACTGTATTAGGAAAAACTGTACACCACAATGAATTCAGGATTGTATGCCAAAGAGAGTAACAAATTTATGATACAAGGAAAAGTTACACAATATTCTTACAAACACTATACACTATATAATCAGAGAAAATGCACCCAATATTGTTCAATAAGTTATTATCATGTGGAACATACAACTGCCTTGAATTATAAACCAAACAAATTTCAACCTCAACTCCTCACATTTGATTGGCAATTTGCATTTAACTTAATTAATTCCTGATTCATGAGAAAATCCATATTAATGTAAAGATTTGCTAAAACTTAGTTTGAATAATAAATTTCATGATATTTAAGTTAAAACATAGAAATTCATGTCATCATAAAATAAGCAATTTGACTAAATGGACCTTCTTCTTTAGACCACCTTACCCCTGCATCATCAAATCTTGTTGGTAGAGGTCTGTCTCTTAGGCCACGCAGTCTTCGTTCTGGTGTGCCCTGATGGAAACAAAAGGAGGAATGTAATTTTATATTAAATGACTGAAAAAATTCCACCAAAAGAAATGTTATCATTAAAAACAAATCAGTTTAAAATGGCTGAGAACTGCCTTTGACCCTTTAACTCCCATGAGTATCCAAGACAGAATTTCTCCTAACAACATCAATACAATATCAACCAGATAAGTGATGAGAATAAAAAAAAAACATCATTCAATTTGGGGATACTTAGTTGATCCAATACTTGATTCTCTGAACTAACATTACAAGAATTGTATGGTTGAAAGTAGGGAGAATTACAAATGTGATCTAGAAGTAAAAGGGTTAAAAAGATAAAAGTTCTTGCTCTTATGCAACTAAGCTTTTCTGCCTTATTACAGTGTTTCAGATCTTTTAATAAATCTAGAGTAATCAGACAAGTTTACCTCTCCATCTCCAGATCTGGGAACTGCCTAAAACAAGAGGTATAACCAGACTTCAGAGAATTACAATTTTGGGTGGGTCAATATGTATATTCATTCCGTACATATAAGAAAAACCAGTTGGAGTGGAGAGCTTTGAAGGTGCACTCTCTACTCAAACTCCAAATATCAATTGCTATTCACCCATAGGTAACTCAAGTGGGATTTACGCCAAAAATGCTAAAATCACTGCAGGAACAAATGAGTCAAAAACATCTTTTTGAGCTATATTTAATTTATCTTTAGTTACTGTTTCAATGTATACTAAGCAACTATTCACCTCAGTGCCAGTGGTTAGTGGTGGATGTCCACTAGTAGCCCCCTTCCCTTTTCTTGGGTGAAAAGTTCTTATTTTATTAAGTTATAAATAAACACTAAATATGACATGTGCATTAATTCAAATTGATATCAATTTGGAGACCCCTCATACATGTTTACAGGATTATTGGAACTTTTTAGGATACTTGTGCTAGAGAGGACTTTCATTGCTCATGCATCCTTTAAATGAAGCTTGGCTGAAGTTGGAAATTGAACCACACTATAAGCTGTAGACAATGACTCTCCTTTGCCATGACCATACAAATGGTATTGCATGTGGTGTTTTAGAAATACCTGCTTTCCTCGCACTTTACTTCTAAGCCTTTCTCTTATGGAGGCATTCAGACTCGAGGACTTGCCAGAATCCATCATTTGCTGAAGTCTAGGGCCTGGCTCACTGAGCCTGGAGGGACCTTTAAACATAATCAAAACAGACTAATCAAGGAGTGTTGGTTGAGGAAAGGGAAAAAAGAAATGAATATACAATTTGCATACATTATCCAAATATTCAAAAGAAAAAGCCTCTTTTCTAGGTTACACGATTATCAACTAGAGGTTGATTAAGTCAGGACAGAGTAACTTGTCCATGTTTCCAACACTTCATGAAACCTCAAAAAAAAAATGATCCTTTTGAGCAGTCAGTTGTATGTGTGTGCGTTTTTGCTTTCCTTTTTGACTGACTGTTCATTTTCTATGCGTAGGTTGCAGACCAAATAAACTTAAAAATCAAATTGTCCTGTTATACCCACTTCACTGTCAAAGCACCATGGTTTCTTGAGAAATTTACCCCCTTTTATTCATTCATCTATGAAGGGTTTCTTTGCAATCTATTACAGTTTGTTTTTATAATCAGCACCTGCACAGACATGCCAACATTACCTCTTTGGATAATATACAACAACTACAAGGTAGTTAAAAAGTTTGGCTTTTCCACAGGAAGCCCTAGTAATTAGGCTAATTATGAACCCACCATACATGTAATTGTAAAAATTAGAAAAAGAGGCAACCTGCAGATGGTGATTCTGGATCGGTCCTTTCTTCTCCCCATGCTCCACCAAAGGTATTGGAAAGCTGAAATAGTGATAGAAATACAGCTTTAAGTGAAGGACAAGAGTTATAATACATGCAAAATTAGATACATGACATCTATAAAACTGTATATAAATGGATCTTCACAACTGGACAGCATTTACTATAACAATATGGCACATGTTACAGTAGCTACCAAACACTGTTTCCTACTAAAATAAATATTCTGGTGTGAAGATAATGACTGATGTCCATGACTCCTTGCAAAGTTTCCACTCCTCAAGGACAAAAATGATTAAATTGTTCGCTAATGTTTTAGCTTGGTTTTACTCCAATCTCACCTAAAAGTTCATTTTTCCACCAATAAAAGTAAAATTCAGTTAATTATAATGGCTATAATTAGCAACTGCCAAACATCTTGAGAACCATCTTGACCTGTATTTGCTTTCCTCGAAATACACTGCACTCTCACAGTCCTACAAATATTAACAAACATTTTACCTCCTCTTTTCTCTGCTGCCTTCTTGTCTGAAGGTCCTGTAACATATCCCCATCATCTTCAAGATCCTGTAAGGACTGTAAGCAAAACCTTCCCAGTAAATGCCTTTTTTAAAATTGTAAACATAGAGAAGGATAAAAGGAATGGAAGAAACAGAAGGAAGGTGAAGAGCAGCCAAGGACAACTCTGATGTTTAACTTCATCATCCATGATTTACAAGACTGTCAGTAAAAGAAGACTAGCAGTATGCAATTATAAAAATGTTGCGATCCTGATTAGAAGTGACCGAGTCATGTGCAAAACAATTAAACTTAATCAATGTAATTATTGGAAGAGGTTATGACCTTTCTTTTTTTTCATTTTACTGCTGATAAAATTTAGTAAATGAATATACATGTATAAATTGAATAATTCATGTTAAATTTTTTTGAAAGGCTCACCTCAACCATAGTGTCTCCTGCCGGACTAAGAGTCTCTACCTCTGTCCCAGTTACTGGTCTTACAGGCTATAATTAACATGTGACCCAAAAAGGAATATCATAATGTGTCTAGGTATTTAAGTGGGTGAAATAAAGTGAAACCTGTGTTCTGATTGGCTGTCCAAGCCAGCAAGATGGGCTTATCTGACATGTTAAGGGTGATACCCACTTTGACATCATATCAGCCACAAAAATAGAGGAGAAAAAACTTAGTTGATATCCTGCCATCCTAACAACACATTTGATCAATAATCTATACCCTGAACACGGTGCAATAGGCTCATGCTATAGTAGTATTGATTTATATGGAAAAGAAAGCTAGATATTAGAAAAAATAGAAAAGTGAATGGATAAGAAAATCATTACTTTAATACTTTCAGCAAATTTCTTCTATAGCAAATATAAAATTTTCAAAAATTTTCTATTGATATGGGCAAGGGGTAACAACTACAGAAACTAACCGTGTCTGTGCTGCGAGCTGGAGTCACTGTGCGCTGTAGAGTATCCTCAGCATCAGATCTGTACGAGCCTGTATCTGACATAATTGTGGCCTGTTTGTGTATTTGAAAGATAGTGGAGATGTAACTACATTTTACTAAATGTTACTAGAAAGAAAACTTTTTCCAGAATTATCTGGGAATTAATGCATACTTCTTCCTAAACAGCTGAATACATCACCACTGATCATGAAATATACTGTACATCAATTACCTCCATTGCAGCCCTTCTCTTTTTCATCTTTTCCCTCAAAGCTCTGCAGTAACAAGCAAGAAAGATAACCATTTAAAGGATGAAAAATTACTCTGATCACTTCCTGGTTTTCTAAACTGCATCATAGCTGGGCACAAAATGAAAAAAAAAATAAAACCTAGAATATTATTATCAGTTTGAGTACTAATTAGCTGATCAACATATAGTTTTTGTAATTTAACGGAGCTGTGAGACTATATTCATCATGGCAGTTGTACATTTGTTGCAGACACCTGTCATGATGCTTTAATGACGACACATCTGTTTCTAAATCAACTCATAGCTCTACTCATCATAAATTTACATTTATGCACCCAACTAACCTGTTGGTGCTGTCCATGCTTGTTCTTTTAGCGTCTATTAATTTATGGCCCTGATCAATTTTTGTTGACTACGCTTATGCATCAACCAGAGTCGATCACCCTAATCTTCGTCACACTTTCACAGTCATTTCTGCTCCTTAAAGTTTTTCAAAGTCATCCAAACATTATTTTCCTCCATGCTGTTGCCGTGTTATCATTATGGAATACTGCTGACTCAAGATTTAGAGGAAGTTTAAAACTTTAACATCATGAGCATCTGTGAATACCAAAATCGTTGTTGTGCCCATGGCACCACGCATGTGCTTTCATAAAGTAGCTCAATACTTCAAATAAATTATTTGCACCTATTTGACTAGGATGACCTCGAAGAAAACTCACAAAATCCGAACAAAAATCCTCAAAACAAATAAACAAAAGGTAGACATGTTTTCCTTGACAGAAATTCGCGCGGATAGTAATTAGTTCCCAGTTTTTTCGCTTATCAAAGCTACCCAGAATGCACGTTAACTTCTGCCGATGATTGTTGCTAAAACAGTACGGTGTGAGATTTAACACCGTTTCCTCTTTAATTTTTCACCATTAGCGTACCATTTTCCTCGAGAATGAAAAGCTGTTTGCGCGGATCTATTTTAAAGACTGATGGTATGTCTTGATAGAAAAAAAATTCAATTCATTTTTGGCGAAATCTGGCGTTGTCACCGGTTCTGCAATAGTGTTACACTTGAAATCTTCAGGATTCATTTGCTATAACATCGTGGAATTATGGTAGGTCTCTTCCTTTTGCTTGAATATTAAATAATGGTATACTTCCTAAAGCTATTTTTAATGTCGTGATGATAATTTTCACATCGAAAATAGGTCAGATTTGACGAAGAAAATTACTGTGTATATTTACTGACCGCGTGATCGCGAGCGGGACTGCCAAAGGTGATTTTCATAGCATCTGTTAATAGTCAGTGACTAGCAACCGCTCTCTAAACAGCGGTAAATTATCGTGAACTTAATCTTTGGCGCATGATAATGTGATTTATTGAGTTCTTTTTCCGATTTGGTTATGTCACTCAAAAGTGCAGTAAACTCACCTACATCACGACAAAGTAAAGGAAAAAGAGGAATTGAAATGAAACATCACCCTTACATGCGTGCGATGCCATACTTATATATCATACGCACATGCTCTTGCAATATCTAGTCTCATTTTGAAAGACGTATTGCAAGTTTTTGTTGAGTCATAGATTTATGAGGCCGAATTCTTCCTCTTCTTCAATTTGTAACTGCACAAACGGTTCACAACGGGTGGTGAATGGGACCTTTTTTTGTAGAATATTAACTTTCTTATTAACCGCACGCAAGGGCCGTACTGAGGAATATTGGCTTTAAGGTCGTGGTAGTACCGACAGAGCACAGTGAAGTCTTTCCAAAAACGACTGAAGGCCAACATTCCCCTACAGGTACAGCTCTCATAAGGGAAGCAAATAAGTGGGCTCACGACTGTTTCTGTAGAAATGGTCTGTATGGCAAAATCCTTATCTAGTAAGAACCTATCAGAACATTTGGATTTACCTTGCCATATGATAAGGTGTTTTAATTTTGACCTTGAAGTGAAAGATCCATTACAAAACATTGTTACAGCTGTGCATACCTTCTCAGATTCATACAACAACATGTAAATATTCATGTATAGTAGTAGTGAGAGAGTCCTTTTTTGGTATCAACTGTCAATTATAGTTGTCTTTCTCTTTCACACAATTTTAAATACTGCTGTTATGTTTCAGTTTCAACCAAAGAAAACAGAAGAAGTTGAAAGTGACTCTGACTGGGACAGCCTTCCTGGAGATGTCCAAGAACCAACCTCTAGCCCTGATTCAACTCCCAGACACCAACCAGTCCCTCCACCTCATTCTCCAAAGGGGCATGTTTCTCAGAAGAGACCTCAGATTAAGTCACAGGCAGCAACCCCAGAGAAAAACTCGATAACTAATTCACCAGTAACACAGCCCATATCCAAACCTGGGACACCTGCATCAAACAGACCAAGTCAGCTATATGGTAAACCTGGAATTACCACCTTTGTCGACAGGAGCTTGAATGCTGACAGTGGCTCGGAGAATCGTCAGAACAAGGAGCTGAGCCCAGATATGAATGAGAATAGATTGCAGCAAGACAGACTGGGAAGACAAAATGAAGGAATCCATTTAGAAATGAACGAAGTGGATCATTATGGACATAATCCACCATTTACAGATTTTCAAGGTACTGTAGCACTTAAAAAGCTACAGGCTATAGCCTGCAGAATAGGCCACATTTTTGTGCATCTTAGAGGCAAAGAGAGGCAAGCCCAAAAAATTATGCTTTTCTGCTTTTGTGTGTCTCATGGGTTGCACTTGCCTCATGCTTGCCTCTTCTTGCTTTTAAAATGCCAAAATGACTTCTGTCCTGCTGGTCATTGATAACTATTTTACTGTCAGGAGTAGAATTTGTATCTTTTTCATCCTCTGAGTATTCTTTTGTAATGGTGGTTTATTTTTCAAATTCTTATGTCAGCCAATCTCCCTAAACAAAATGCTGGAAAACTTACACAAAGTGAGAAACCTAAGGTGGGAAAAGTCAAGTCATCTTATTTGACAACCAAGCAAGCAAATCATGGGAACCATTCTTGGGATTCTGACAGTGAACAAGAGCAAGAACTGGTGTCACATAGCAGAGAACCATTGACACCCCGCCAAAAAAATTCCAAAGCAGATAACCATGAAGAAAAAAGTGTACACCCAGAACATGAAACAGCCATAGTAGAGAATCATGACAAGGTTCTGAGTTTAGAAACATGCTGTGTGCCTCTGAAAAGTGAAAGAAAAATAAGTGGGTAAGTGATTGATGTCTGTGTAATAATCGGCAATTGCTTTCCTGTTCATTCATGAATACAATTTGTATATATGCAAAATTACTTTTAAGTTGTTTGAATATTACAGATGAATGTTGTCTATCTTATTGTATGCGTGACAGTTATAGAGGACAATTCGTCAGATGATTGTGATATTGACTGTGGCTTGGGTCATCAAAACATCAGACATTGTATCAGACAGGAAGTGTTGTTATTCTTAGAACTACCCTCAAACTGAAAGTCACATAACCCACACAAGAGAGATGTGCTCTGCAGAGTTTTCTGTTTTGTCATTGGTGATCTTTCCTTATGCAGACTCATGCATCTCTAGAAGTGGCTTTACAGCAGTAGGATGGATTGGATTTGAACATACAGCTTTCAATATGCATGTGGTAGACTTTGATATCAGTAGAGGGAAATTATTGTGCTTTGAGGTAATATAAAATTGATTAACAATTGATTACCTGTAGGTGTTCATATTATTTTGATCACGGTCACAACCATCATCTTGATGTTAGACCAGAATGGAGAGAAGCTTACATGAAAGGAGTAGCAGACAGGTAAAATCCCTTTTTTCAGTTGCAGTTAATTTGCTATACATGTACAGTACTGCTTGTGTATACGTTAACCGAAAAACGTGAATAAAACGCGCAAAAAATCGTATGCAATTGCAAATAAAAAAAATCGTGCACATCAAAAAAATCGCATGTGTGTGCATGACTTTAAGATCACCCACCCCTATAATTGTTACTTCAAAACCTCTTGAAACCTGACATCCTCTTTAATTCAACCTATTAGGTTTACATATTATGAAAGAGCGATGTATTTAAGTCAGTGTTCAACTGTTTCTTTATCAGCAATTATAGTGTGCACAGTACACAATGGCCACTGCATGGGATGTGTGTTTTGTATGACTGAGACAACCAGTATAAGAGACCAAAAAAAAAAACATGATGTGAATGTAATATGTCAGTGATAATTGGTAATACATTTATTATAATTATAAGTAATATTTTGATCATCCAGGTTTACTAATACATTCATGATCAATTTTTCTTTTGTAGATCTGAAAAATGGCTTCACTATTTCTGGCAGGAGTTTTTCAGTGCAGTTCGCATCATCACTGACTTTGCATTCATCTTTGTATTGGAACTATTACGGTTTGTCTTCCACTATGTTTTGCTCCGCATACTTGGGGGAATCATCATTGTGGTTGGAGATCATTTCTTAAAACCATACTTGGCTCTGGTTTTTAACCGCATTATTCAACCTACCTTGATTTTCACACGGAATGTTTTAACTGGCATTAGAAACCTTTTACAACCATTAATGGACATCAGCAGTGTCTTTATCGCACAGCTGGGTTCCTTACTGAGGGCATTTAGGCTGTTTGAACTTAACTGGAAACCAGTGTATGAAAGAAGACAAAAGCATGATGTCCATGTATTGTAGTTACTGCTGATGATGAGAGCAAACTGAAAGGATCAGGGAGCTAGGCTCAGCTGTTAAGGATGTTGAGCAGATTTGTTATGTTCGAGCACATTGTGCCTAAAAATTTATTTTACTTTGTTTATTAAATTTTAAACCATTTTACTCCCTAGATCTCAAAAGTAACTTAGTTGTTATTATCAACCATAATTTTCTTGTCTTGTTAATTCTGAGAATTTGGTCTTAAAGACCTTCAGTCTTAAATCAAACAACATCCCAACATTGATATTTTTCTTTATTCTCCTCACCTGTCTGCTTGGCGATGTGTTGATTCTGTATGGAGAAAGTACTTCTTGGTCATTCCTATTAGTGATAGGGTTACAGTGCACAAGGAAGAAACCTTTAATGTATCATAAATTTAGGGCAATATATGGTAAGAAAAGGTCACTTCCATTACTGGTTATATTTTTTACTCCCATTTTGCCAGTTAAACATGCGGTTAACTCATAAATCCTCCAGATGGATCCCTATAATGTTAGTACATTATCAAGAAAACTATTTAAGAGAACAGTTAAAGAAAGGTTGTTATTCCAATAGGCCATCAAACAATCTTGATTATTTTAAATTTTAATACATTATCTTGCAAACAGTTAAGGATGCAGTCCAAGAGAGGTTGTTATTCTGTTAAACCATCAAACAGTCTTGATTATTTTAAGACAAATGAATGGCAAGCTAGAAGAGAGAAATAACCATCAGATCTTTGCACCTGATTCCCTCTTTCTGACAAGAACCCTGTTTGACAAGCTCTGCACTTTAGATAGTGTTGGTGTGGGTGACTGAAACATTCCATTGGAGATCAGATTTTGCTATCACAATGCTTGGTTTGGAATTTGTTTTTTTCTATTTATAATCTATATAATACTGTAAATTTCCAAGAAAAATCAAGACTTATGATACCTGTGGTATTGAATGATTTTATTAACTGTGAACAATAATTGCTTTTAAAATGTGTCCTTGGTACTCCCATTTTGATTTTGATTATTTCTATATTTTGACAGTTAATGCCACTGTATAACTGGGACCTGGGTATCTATATGCATCTACTGATTTCCCAGATAGTTTTGAACTTTATTTCTACTTTAAAGATATTTAGTCTATACTTCTATTTATCTCAGAATTTATCCATTGGAAATGATAATATATTAAAAACTTGTTTTACTGAAATATAGTTCATAGTCATTGTTCATTGTTGTAGGTTATTATCAAGAGTGTTTTTCTTTGTTTTCGTTTGAGGAGAGTCCTCTATGTGACCAGCTAATAATTTTAGTATACTTACTCACTACATGTGCTTTCGAATTCTTTTGTAAATTCGTTTTGTTGTTGAAATCATTCTGTACAATTCCTTTCATTGCTCGTATGGAGAAAAGCATTTAACAGGTTTATCTAATTTAATCAGCAAAAACCTCCCATCTTTCTTTTGAAAACTGTTGGCTAAACTTAATAGCATCTTTTGTGCTCTTCACAATTGTATTTTCTTTTATCTCGTTAAACACTTCTTGCGTGACATTCGCAAAAGGCGAGAAGAGCAGCCATTTCGGAATTTAGCGCCCTTGCTTTACTTTAAATTATGTTCAGCTCATACCGAGTTTCATGCATGCACTTCTTTGAAAAAGGGCAGATCACTTCCTTGCACTGGCAGAGTGACTAGTCGAACAATTATTGAATTCTGTCATAAATTACTTGCTTTAGCCTGCACATTCGGTAAATAATCGATCTGCTCTCCTTTGTGGTTTTGTAGATAAATAAGGTAAGTTGGCATTATCAACGGAGTTGACAAAGTAATTTTGACACCGTAAAGAGTTTCAAAGCTGACGTTTCGCTCTGACGAAGGGCTAGCGCTCGAAACGTCAGCTTTGAAACTCTTTTCAAAGGCCAATTTACGTCATCAACTCAGCTGATAATACCAAATTACCCTGTTATACTCTTCCACCGACGCAGTGTCACAGTTTCTTTAGGAACTTTCCCCCTTTATTCATTTGAAGATAAATGAACGTTTAATCGCGTCTCACGAAGTAGAGTCAGACTCAATTTTATGGATCGCGTTTTTTTTACTCGTATGCATGGTGGCACATTGCCGGGCATAAGGGAGCCAATTTTGTACCGATACACACAAACGAAGAAAACCTTTCATATTTTAGTTGTAACTCACCGGTTCATGTCAGATACTTAGGAAGGTATACAAATTCATTTGAAAGAACATCGGCATTTTTACGATTGGCGTATGGAAGCGAAATTTTTCCAGAGCTACGCAAAAATTTTCAAATAATCCCCTAATCATCTCACAAGAGTCACTATTGAACATTACGCCGGGACTGTGAGCAATGAAAATAATGTTCACTCTTCGTCTGCTAATTGCAACACAAGTACACGCTATTCGATTTCTGATATTGGCTTGTCTTCGTTCGTGTCTTTGTTTTCACGAGCCAGGCACGATTCCTATATCTGGGTATCGTAAGTTTGTGCTGTTGATGATAATACTTTGTCGGCTGTTAACAACGCACCGTACATTTTCTTCACTCTGCCTGTGAACACAAACCCAAAAGCAATAAAAACTCCTTGAAGTGAGTTGAATACAACAAATGGATAATCAAAGTAACTAGAAACAAGAATCGATAGATATCCAAAAATCCACGTGAATCCCATCAAGACTGAGAGCTTTAAAAACAACACAACCTGTTTTCGATTGTTTGCGGCGTTTCCGATTACCCGTGTTTGTTTTTTTATCTTGTTAATAGAAATAACCGTCAACGAAAACAGGATCGCGTTTAACGAAATGGAGACAGCCACCGGGATGACAAAAACAAAAATGTTAGACTTGGTATTGTTGATCCAACAGTGACTCGTGCCACCGTATCCTATAGCAACTAACCCTGATTGGTCGAGGTAGTAACAAATAGCAACAAACAAAAGGGCAGGAATCCAACCAATGGCAAGTAAGCAACCCTTCCGATTGGCTGTTCTCTGACGGGTGCGACAGGTTCTGGAAAAAGTATAGTAGGTATCAAATGCGATAATCGACATCCAAGTAAAATATGCTAAGTAAAAGTAATGGGTTAGAACAGCAATCAATGTACAAATCTGTCGCTGTTGATTCACACCCCCAATCATGGAAAAGGAATGGGCGAAAAGCAAAGAGATGGACAAATTCATTAAATTAATACCCGGCAAAGTGCGCAGTTCCCTGAAAATGGAATACGTAAAGAGCACAAGCAAAAGGCAGGCAATAGAAAGACTGATTCCAACGTAAGTTAAAATCAGAAGTGCCGTGTAAGTGTTGCTATCAGCAGACGAAGGGATGATGCAGATTGTAGCCTCTCCGTCTATCATCACGAAATCATGAATGCCGTATACTTCTTTTGAGTTATTTCTGTACAAAGATCCGTTTCCTAAAATGACGTATTCCTCTTCCTTGAGCTGAATTAAGACACCAAAACACTTCAATATGACGCTTTTTCGACAGACATGAACGTCACCCACAGGAATAACAGATCCATTTCTAGACTCAGTTTGGTTTGACCAGTAGTCTGTCTTAAGAATTTTGTCTTTCGTGCTGTTAACATAAATAGCGGAGTCAGCGTTCGTGATTACCAAGTATTCACTTGGGTTGTAAATGTCAATTGTGACACATAACAAAGGTACCCACTCCTCCTTGACAACAGAGAAAGGCATATTCCCTACCGTTAAATTGCAAGTAATTGAGCCGTTAGTTTGACTCAGGTAACTTTTCGGGAAGGTAACCACTATATTTGCAGATATAGATGTGCCGTTTAGAACGTTTATGGAAAGTATTTCTGCAGAGCAATTTCTTAACGCAGACTCTAGAGTCTGTGTTATTACTTTTCTTGATTGATTCCCATCTGTTTTACCAAACTGAGATTCAAATTCGATAGAAACTTTATATCTGTTAAAGAAAGGTAAAGTTAGTTTCTTGTCGATGTCCCTTTTCATGCTGATTACCCTTCGGCACTCCCTAGAAACAGGATCCAGTGCGTGACCAATCTCGCAGGGGTTTGGTTTTCGAGAATCTGGGCGAAACAAGGTGATCAAGGAAGATACTACTTGGGGACCCTTAATAGACGAAAGTAACTTTGGAGCACTTTGTTTAATGGGTCCACACACAATCTCGCCAAGTGCAACACCGGCGCATTGGGCGCAGTGTCTATTCAAATACAGCTTCCTTGTTCCCCTTTTCGCGCCGACAACTCCCGGTGATTTTGATAAACACTTACGCTGAACTTCTGGCGTCACTGAGGTATTCAAGCACGACGCGTTTGTCTCTAAGTCAAGACAGTAACGCCTGGGAGCGCCTAAAGGTGGCTTCCATTTTACAATTGAAGATTTAAAGACCACAGATGTCGAATTAGTAGTGTTCTCCCGTTTGGTATAGCTAACGGGTTGAATCGACCGTGTTTCATGATCGTAGAATCGGCTTGTGTTGAATTCAACGCCGTGACAAACTGCACAAAAGCGATTCTTGTATGTGTTATTTTTCGCATCGATCAACGGTGTAGTGTGACTTTGAGAGCCTTCGGACATCTCTGGGATATCTCTTGTGCACTTTGTAGCGATTTCATCATAAGTCCAGTTTTCAGGACAAGCAGAGATCATCCTCACACCTTTCGCAAAGGGCACCGTAGACCCACCTCTGTCATGACACTTCCAGAATTCATGGTTTAGAGATTTTGATGAGTTGGAATGCTTGCCTAGAAGGCAAAACTGCTCGTAATCTGCGCAACAATCGAGGAATACTGTGCAGTATTCATCACAGAAGCACTTGATTTCTTCAGTGGTTAGCCCTGGGTCTCTCCCTTTCCTGCATTTGCCAACGCAAGAAGTTTCACGCCGACAACTTAAAGGATCCTCATCCACTGACCTGTTACTTCCTATAGTAATATCCCTTTTAGTCCTAGGTTTGTCTTTGTGAGAAAACTGCGTAGACTTCTCTTGTGGCTTAAGATCTACACATACAAGATTATCAATAATCATTGAATGAATGCAAAGACAGAACAAACTTTGTGACCCGAACTTTGAAAATGTGTGTGCGCTCTACAAAGATAAATTTATCAGTGATAATTGAGTGAATTCAAGAGACAGCAAAAACGCAAACTGCTTGCGTTTTATAGGCTTAGTCCTAATCAAGACCTTCCAGCAAAATTAAAAGTGGAAAACCTTCCCTGTTTCTAAAAAAACTATCAGTATAATAAGCCCATAGCTCATTTAGAAATTTAGCGCTGTTTTTTCATAACAATCAGAAACAGTGCGCATTGAGACACCTGTTCTGTCCAACGCGAACAATTTAACTCCTTCAACATGTCTAAATGCTTCCTTATACCGTTTCCCCCATTACAGAATACCGAGCTTGTCATTCAAGCACGGTTTGCTGAAAAAATGAATAGGAAATCTATTATTCATAACGTGGAGAAACCTACCATCCTTCGTGTATCTCATCAAGTTACTAAACTGAGCTTCATTTAGCCCTGGATTATCACTGCTACTATTCCTTTCGGGGCTGGATGAAACTAGATGAACTATTGTTACAAATACGTTAACTAACAAAAATGTTAGCTTTAATTTCTGTTGAACTCGGGAAGACATTAGTTTCACGGGTGAATCTACTCAGCAATGTCGATTGAGGCTGATCGTGTACCACTTTGAACAACGACCTATGCAAACTGTTCATGCTCGAGTTAACAGTGAGAAATGATTAATGTCTGCTCAGCGTGAGGATTCATTTTAAAATTGAAAACACAATACAAACTTTATTACTTCTAGTTTCATATTGTTCATGTATCCTTTGTTTTGATCTCGACTTGTAATCAGCGTTGAGCAAATGAAGATCGAATATATGACATACAAACTCGTTTCGAAGCAAAATTGTTTCAAATATGAATTAGATGGCTTATGGTATTCCAAGTAAAACATTCACCGTTGGGTATTAACTACAGATACGAGCTGGGAATTGTTCAAGATTTTCATTTGTGTGTGAAAAAGAAACATACGAAAGCAGCTGTTTAAATGAAAATTATTCAGTGTTTAAGATAATTTGGAGTCAACAAAATAATAGTTCTAATTTTACTGAAAATTGCGAAATTGTTGTAAGTTGTTTCTCATTGTCATATGGCAAAAACAAATACCTTTTCATCAGACTTGTAATTAATCTTACTCAGCTTAATTTTTTTCGCCGATGGGAATAAACCAGTCTGATACATGCAACATGCACAGAAAGCGCATTAAATGTTTTTGTCTCATTCAGCGTCAAACAATGCAGTGAAGTACTTCCCAAAAGACGCCACAATTATTTAAGTCAACACATTAAATTTATCTTT